AAATTTGGAAGTAAACTTGGAATCTCTATCTGAAACAATCGAAACAGGAATCCCATGTAATCTTACTATCTCTCGAACGTAAAGCTTTCCAAGGTTTTCAGTGGACTCTGTTGTTTTGACTGGTAAAAAATGTGCAGATTTGGTCAAACGATCCACTATAACCCATATTGCATCTCGTCCCTTTGGAGACCTAGGTAAACCTGTAACAAAATCCATGGTTATATGATCCTATTTCCACTCTGCTACTGGTAATGGCTGTAATGAACCTGACGGTTTCTGATGTTCAGCTTTCACCTGCTGACATGTGAGACACTTTGCTACAAATTTTTCTATATCTCTTTTCATACCATTCCACCAAAAGTTACGTTTCAGGTCAAGATACATCTTTGTTCCTCCAGGATGAATTGTATAGAATGAATGATGTCCTTCTTTCAAAACTTCTTTTCTCAGATCAGAAATTTCAGGTACATACAATCTATCCAAATATCTTAGTCCACCGTCTGCGTGGACATTCCATCCATCAGGTGTCTTTCCAGTTGTAATCTTAGTTCGAATGTCTTTAGACATAGAATCAGATTCTTGTGCCTCAATTATTTTTCCAATCAAAGTGGGGTGAGTTACTAAATTACATAGATATGCATGATCCTGGTGCATACCTACATACAAGTCAAAATCATAGAGAGATTCTACCATCTTCCACCTTTGATCATATAAACTGGCTATGACTTTTTGAGGATTTCGACTTAAAGCATCTGCGACCACATTAGCTTTTCCTGGATGATAATGTAAATCAAAGTCGTAGTCTTCTAGATATTCCATCCAACGTCTTTGTCTTAAATTTAACTCCTTCTGAGTGAATAAGTACTTCAAACTCTTATGATCTGAGTAAAGTTCAAAATGTTCTCCATACAGATAATGTCTCCACACTTTCAATGCATGAACAATAGCTGCCAGTTCTAGATCGTGTGTCGGGTAATTTTTCTCATGTGATTTCAATTGACGAGAAGCATAAGCAACAACCCTGTCAGACTGCATCAAAACACATCCTAATCCATGCAATGATGCATCAGTATACACTATATAACTTACACCTTTTTCTGGTATAATTAACACAGGAGCTGATGTTAATCGAGTTTTTAACTCTTGAAATGCTTCCTCACATTTATCATCCCAAATAAACTTAACTCCTTTTTGTGTCAATTTGGTCATTGGATTAGCTATCTGAGAAAAATCTTTGATAAATTTCCTATAATAGCTAGCTAAACCAAGAAAACTTCGAATCTCGTGAACATTTTTCGGCTGTCTCCAATTCAACACTGCTTCTACTTTTGTAGGATCCACGGCAATGCCTTCTTTTGAAATAACATGTCCTAAAAATTTCACTTATGTTAACCAAAATTCACACTTACTTAGCTTGGCAAATAACTTGTGTTCTCTCAATGTCTGTAGAACAATTGACAAGTGTTGTTCATGCTCTTCTTGAGATGATGAATGAATGAGAATATCATCAACGAACACAATCACAAATTGATCCAGATAAGGTCGAAAAACTCGATTCATTAAATCCATGAAAA